CCCCCTCTCTCTCTTTCTCTCCTTTTAGAAAAAACAAGACAGCTGCAGGGGGGTGGGGGGGGTGGGTGACGTGACTGTGTGGTCCTGTAGCCAGTAGGGGGGGCTAGTCTTCTGCTGATGTTTTATGCGTGTGTGCTGGTGTGCTTTATAACACAGAGAAAAAGACGGATAGAGGGAGAGGAGGAGGTGGAGTAGGTGCGCTACTCCATCTCCAGGACAAAAAGGCCTTGATGAGTCCTATTCAAATTCACACACAGTCCCTCATTCAATTGAAGGTCTGTGCATGTGTGTGTGTGTATGTGTGCAATGCATGAGCCTTCCCCCGATGAGTGAGTGACAGCAGTGATCCAGCTGAGAGATTATAAAAGGTGCATGTTTACCTCATATGGGGACAGCAGGGGTTTGGAGAAGGCTGTGCCCCAATCAATAGAAAGGCGTGGACAAGCGATCTGGATCCACCTGTAGGAAAGAGAAGGTACAAATGTCTGCTCAAATGTACATCCATGAGTGAGTGCAGTTGTGCGTACAAAACAGAAGCCGTCAGTGAGGGCGAACGACCGAGAACCTATTAGACAGGCAGGGCACATCTGCGGCTGCACGCTGCATGTGGATATGTGATGCAATGGGTTGTGTGGGGAGCCTCCCTCCACCTGATCTCCAGCATCTGTTGGAGAGATCTGTCCTGATTTGCAACAGCTCTAAAGACAGCCACGCTACACTGTCTGAATGCACAGCCAGTCAGTGAAAGAGGGAGGCTGAAAAGAGAGGGAGGAAGGTTTGTGGTGGTGGAAAAGGGGTGGGGGCAGGGGGGGCAGGTTGACTGGTTGCATGAGGCATAAACAGAAAAACAAGGAAAGAAGTGAACAGAGGTGAAAAGAGAAGAAATGCAGTGAAAGAAAAAAAGAAACGAGGGAGAGGTGAGGCGAGTGTGAATAAAAAACCTGCACCAGCCCGGTCTCCACGGAGGTAGCCTACATAGCTGGCAGACAGGGTGGTGGAGAGGGATGAGGGTGTGGGAGGGAGGCTGTGTATGAGAGAGATGGGGGGGGGGAGAAGGACACAGATACACAGTGATAGGGAGAAAGAGCAATGAAGACGAAAACAGAGAGGGGTGGTTCTGAAGAGGCAGAGAGAGAAGAGAGGGAACAGAAGCAGAAGAGAGGAGGAAGATTGGCAGGGTGAAAAGTGTTTACTCTGGAAAATGCATGAAAGAGGGATGAGGAGGGCGTGGATGTAAACAGCTGGAGGGAAAAAAAATGAACAATGGGAAAATGGAGACAGAGAGAAGTGGCCGGGGCTACGGGGTTAGCTTTCACAGATCAATGCTATCCACAGCTCCATCTCTACTGAGGGAGCGGAGCCTCCCTTGTCCCTAATCCTAATGATGGAGCTCTATCAGAAATATTGGCAAATATAAATTGAGCTGCAGTGCATATGAAATCCCTGGATATAACGTCAGATCTAGGTAAATGTCAATAAGAATACACCTGTTTGAGATTGAGTATAGGTGAGTAGGCATAGATGGGCAAACATAAAAAGATATAAAAAAAAGTTTTGTCGTAATCACTTTAATACTTTCATGTCTACGTTACATCGAATTCCCGATCTGTCTGTTCTTCATTTTCCAACTTTCACACAATTTCTCAACTGCAGAATTGATTGCACCGTTGACTCTCGCTCCACTCTGCTTTCTGTCACAGAAATATTCCACCCCCTCTGGGCATATGCACAGCATTTTCTCATTTTCAAATAACACTTTTTTTTATGCCCCCCCCCAACAGTGGCTTCTTATTCATCCTCCTGATTTCCTGAGTCAGAGATATTTGCATCAAGCACCAATCTCCTCGGACCTAAGTTTGCTGAATTGAGATAGACATGTCGAGTCTGAAATATGACCTTTAAGTCCATCAGCTGCTATTCACCACCAGAGCCCCTTTACAAAGCCAAACACTGCAAATGAATCAAAACCGCCTTAGCCCACACAGGAAGAAGGAACTAATAACAGGGGAGGAGTCTGACTATTTGTGTTTGTGTGTGCACATGTATGTAAGTAGATGTGTATATGCATGTCTGCTGTATGTATCTGTATCTATGTGTATAATGAGCTCAAAATAACACTGGGAGTGGTTAAAAGAGGGAGGATGATTAATAAGCAAACCAAGACTCCTCCATCAAATCCTTGGGGCTAGCATTGAGAAAAGAGTCTGAGAGCAAAGTAAGACACAATGCATGAAAGGGAAGGCAGAGAGGATCCCTCCTCAGGAGCAGATAGCTGATTGGCACATAGAGCCAGAAGGGACTTTTCTAATATTAGCACAGAGACTGACTGAGTGGTGCAGTTCAGTAAAACGCATGGCGCCATGCCAGGTATTGTCCCCAGAATGAGGCCCAAATGGTATTTCCAGCCCTTATCTGGCCTTCAATTTAACCAGCACAGTAGAGATCCCAAATCATGCAGTGCAGTGAAATAAAGAAAGCTGGAGGAAAGAAGAAAAAAAAAAAAAGAGGTGCAGAGACAGATGAAAAATGTGGGCTTTTGTCTTAGGCAGTTGAGCCTTGCTTCACAATTTATTCCCAAGCAAAGATTAACCAAATAAACATTGTATGCATATGAGTTTGATAGAAGCCTTATCTCTTCAGTCCCTCTCTGAAGGATCTGTTTCCTTAATTCCTTTAATAGAAACTAGAACCCCTCAACACAAGAGGATACTGGTGGGGACTATGCTGCGATGTATAAAGGAAAGGCAGCATGACACTTAGTACTACCATGCAATGTGAGCTCCAGCCCTGGCCTCGCTGCATTACCTGCTGTGGCCCATTACACCTGACACAGTTAGGGGGACCTCCACCTGGATGGCTTCGCTTCAATTACACTCACAGTCTTGACCCACCAAAAAGCAAGAACAATTAACCTTACAACACTGTGGGAAAATGAAAAGTGTTCACCTTTAACGACAAAACTTAATTGAATTAAAACAAACAATTTCATTTCAACTGAGTAAAAAATTTAAATAAAAAAAATATATATATAAAAAAAAGACTGCAATGTGCTGGGTGGCATTTGTGGTCTAGTTGAGATAAGTGTGTGCGGTGTACATATATCTGTACAATAGTTTAAAACCTGCTTGGGGACAGCCTAATTACACACTTAAGAGCATATGCTAATGGTGTATCTCTCTTTTTATGAGTGAGTATGTGTGTGTCTAATGACAGAGACAGCCTGGGGGTGGGCTCTGTACAGTGTGCTGTGATGGCTAGTGCAGAGCACTAATGCATCCTCTACCACCCCACCGTTTATATCGAAGTCTGCCTCTCTCTCTTTCCTTCTGTTCCTCATTCAACACAGCCGGATTCAATACAGCTTTCAACACCCGCTGGTTTTTTAATGCCTATTGTAGCCTCATGTAAGATGCCTGTTCAAACTAGTCTGAACAGTGGGGGGAAACATTAAACAAAAAGACAAAAAATAAAATGATAAAGAAACGCCAAAATATTAGCAGAAGAGAAGATGAAAACAATGTTGTCAGTAAGTCATATCTTCCAAAACAAACCTTACATTTCCACTTTCATCTCTGACCTAGACTCATTAAATAACACTCAAAACAACAGTTTTCATTTTGATGAATAAATGCAATCGTCTCAAATAGAGCTGGAAACTGAACTAGCACAGAGTATTGCTATCTAACTATCCAACTATCAAGTGCTGGCATCAAATGCTTGCTCAGATTCTTATTCTTCTTATTCTTTGATGAGACCGTTTTTGATTTAAATACAAATTGTGTTAGTTTAGATTTAAAAGTTATTGGACTGCATTTAGTTTAGACTGAATATAAAGTTTGTCTTTTGTTGAGGGTTTTTTATCCCTCAAAGTGAAAAGCAAAGTTACAGGAACAAATATGGGGAACTTAAAATGATACCCATAGTACTCAACTTCACAGATGATCCGCTGGTCTTCAAAGACAAAATTACTATTGCATTGCATTCTGATGTAGATACAGTTTACACCTAGCTAAAACCGGTTACGGTCTACAACAAACAGTCCTGCCCTAAATGCTAGCTTCATGAAGGTTACAATGTTAATTTTTTATTGAGTAAGCTTTATGGTCATTTTGGAAGCTGTAGTGTATGGTGGAGTTATACTGAGATAAGTTTCAAATATTTTGTCCACCCCATTTTTATAAAAGTACACTAAATATTAAAAACGTCTCTGACTATATATGATTTATTACAGAGCAGTTAGCTGTACGTAATAAACTGGCAAATGGCTATGAAAGTATATAGGTATCTGATGAACATGTATACAACAGGCCTTAATTTTGTATTCAAACAGATTTGTTTTCACCTGGTTGAAAAGCTTTTTGTCTGTAATGAGGGTTTGTTTTGGTTCGGTGAATCGTGCTTGACTTACATAATTTCGGAGTTGCACTCATACGTCAGTCTGAAGAGGAGAGCCAAAAAAACAAAGGAAAAAAAAGTATTTTACCATGATCGCTCGCTTTCCAAACAGCCCCCTCAACTACCTCTGCATCTCTCTATCCCTCTCTCCAACTCACTCTCAATCTCTCTCAGACCTTCTGTCCTTTTCTCACCCACTCCTCCCTCACACATCACACCTCTCATTACTCCACAGTAAGAGGCCAATCTGAGGGAGTGTGAGGAGCGTGTGTGTGTGTGCCTGTGAGATTGTGACTGGAGCTGTTGCACATCAGTGTCTCACTAACCCCTTGTCCATCTTCACCTATGTTCTTCTGGTTGGAAGACAGATAAATCGGAGAAACTGCACCTCGAAGCCTAAGCACTTGATATTTCATTGAAAAAACTTGGGGAGTTTCTTTTTTGAAGTCAGGAATGAGTGTGGCTGGGTGACAGATTGGTGACAGATCCTATTTCAGCAGCTGCCACTGTTTTACCAGGAACATGTATTAATTAATGACAAGATCCACAAATGCATCAATGACGTCACACTTCACCAATAACTTCATAGTATGTGAGGGAATAAGCAAGTGTTCATTATATGTGATGGGTTCACAGTACCCTTGGCTTCGACTAAGGCAATATATTTTTAGACTTACAATCAGATGATTAAAATAAAACAGAATGCCTAAAGGTAAAAAAAGCCTTCCTGAGCAAGGGCAAGGATTTTTTCTAGTTTTTATTATACGCCCTAATAAGAGAGCAAGAGAGCACATTGAAAAGTATGAACTTTAATAGAAAATTCAAGTATAAAATCCCATTTTCTATGCCCCATGTGTCAAAGCTGTGGAAATTGTATAAAGCATCCAAGTTCATTACGCTAGACAATTTCTTTTTGCTATGAAGGCAAAACTATGGAATCTCACCAAGATGTGAATGCCAATTTTGTTTATGAAGCTATACACTCTAGACTAGTTTGTCAGCTCCTTGTTATAGTGTGGACTTGCAAATTATGCTGACTCCCCGGTTATGTGTGCAATGATGCTTACAGAATACATTTCAAATGTTGTTGTTTGCAACTTTAAGGCGACTACTTTCTGTTGATCATAATAGCTCTGCAGGGGTCCGTAATGTGAAAGATAAATTACCCATTCTTTATGACAAAGGGACACAGCGATGATTAAGACTTTGCAAATGAAGAAAACAAAGGAAGCGTTTTAGCAAAGAGTGCAAGACAATGGGAGTAATCTTGACTTCAATGTTGGAGTAAGCCATTGTATTGGTATTGCCATGGACAAGTAAAAACTACCAAATGCATGGTGTAAGAGGCTCTTGAGGTCTTTGCACTAACAAAAATAAAATGGAAACCTTTTCACTGCATATGGGAGAATCTGATGCTTCATGCATGGCTTAAAAGCATGTGAGGTGCCGTCAGGGGGGAATAGACTAAAATACTTTTCAAACAACTGGACCAGCCTCAAACCAGCCACAACAGAACCTAAATAAGGTGCTTGATTTGTTTTTTACATTCAGGTTCTGCAGTAAAAATTGGATTGGATGGAAATTTGGACTGGCTTCTGCAAGGCTAAGAGAATATGGGTCATTGTTTTTACTTCATCTGCCACGGCCAAGCAGTTCTGACTCAATGAAAAGCATGTGTCCTAATGTAGGTGTGTGTTAGTATATGTATGTGAATCTTAATACTCACGCATCTACATCTGACATCAGATCCAGCTTGCTGGGAAAAATCTCTGACAGAAGCACTCGTGTGAAGGACTTGCCAAGTGACTGCAGCTTCGACTCCAGATGCTAGGAAGAGAAAGAAGTTAAATAATAGGACCAGTGGAATTTTTTGCAATCTACATGTCAAACACACTTCTATCTAAGGTTTGTAAACTCCAGCATGTGAAATGATAAGTTACAAATCACATAGCCCATTACTTCCACCCACACAGGCACATCCTCATAAGCATTCCAATCTAGGGTCATCCAAAAGTTTTTGCTCTACTGTTAACAACCTCAGCAGGAACACTATTTTATCCAGTTCTCAGTCTCTAAAGCCTGATATATCCATCCATCTTCTTTATGCTGCTTACTCATGTCTACAGGGTGGTGACATCAAGTTAAGTAAGGAAGCAGGCAGATTATTCTCCACAGGCATGTCCTCTAGCTGCTTCTGGCTTTCTCAGGCCAAGTGGGATGTGTAATCCTTTCAAGATATTTTGGGGGCTTCCCCTAGGTCTCATTCAAGTTGTCTCTGGCCATACGCCTCCATGGGGAAAGCGTCTGGATTAGATGCCCAAACCACCTAAACTGGCTCTTTTCAGAACAAAAGATCAACGTTATTATACCTTACGGATGTTCAGTCTTCTCAACCTGTCAATATGTGCCCAGACACACGAGGAAACTCAGTCTACCTAGAGTTCAAAACTCTAGGAGAGGGCAGGAATTCAGATCAAGGGCTTCCACTTGAGACTCCCTCTTCATAAATGTCCAGCACAATGTTACATTATTAAGCTGACAATAAACCAATCAGCCTGTCAAGCTCATTCTACATGTCACACTCACTAATCTAAATCTAAACTAAAACAAGATCTTGTGATACTTAAACTCCTGCACTTTGGGCAGCAATGCATTCCCGACCTAAAGGGAGTATTTTCAGGTTTTCAGAGTTTTGTGCATACAAATCACATAATTGGTACCAAAGCAAAACCTTGCCCAATTGCCTCTGAGAGTGCACTTTACTTGTTGCCCAGACACATAGAGACATATTTCTCACTCTATTCTTGAAGTACCCCACACGTCATCATGAGGGTCACAATTATTAAACACATGTGAACTCTAGGGAAAAAAGTCCCATGACCCTACCTGACACCGAAAGGGCTGGTCCATTGTTCAGTTCAGTTCAGTTCAGTTCCACTGAAACTAAGGTTAAACATTTGGCTGAGCAAACAGTAGTCAGAGCTTTGCCTTGCGTGACTCACAGTCATATACTGTAGATGTGACCTTATTCTATAAGGAAAACTCAACACAGTGGTGCTCAGCAAGGGATTTATGAGCGTTCCCACATCTGTTTGGTATCTTTCACTTTAGGCAACTCTGAAAAAGGCGAGTTGAGTTTGACTCCAGAGTTGGTGCCGTGTGTATTTTTGTAGAAAGGGTTCAGCAGACAAAAGCCCTCAGCTTTACCTTACATTTTGTAATGCACCCTGGAAGCCAGTGGGCCCACACAGAGCTGGCCAACTTCACCTCTTTAGATGGAGCTGGATCAGACCCACAAGCAAAGACACCAGGCCTCGTATAACATATCAATAAAATGAAACTGTTTAGCCAACAGTTCAAGGAATTCTGCTCTCTTGCTGACTCTGACTTTGAAGTTTTAGGCACTGGAACTTGGACTGAGGTGTTATTCAGGGATGTAGAAGGCCAAACCAAGTGAAGAAAATACCATAAATGTTCTTTTGGTGAGATAAAGGTATGAAGGTTGCTGATATTCACTGTCCTTCGAAATAGCATGAGACATTTTAGCGACTGTGTTCTTATCAGAGATAGTTCTGTCCCTTTACTTGAGAGGTTATCTGACATATACTTCTTAATCTTGACAGATCGCTATGGGAAAGCTGGTGGGTCTTTTTATTCAAATCCCCCCTTTTTAATCCATCCTCTCCTGTCACCATAAAATTAAACTTTTCACTCTCAAGTTGACAATATTGCGTTAATGCTTACTTCATCTTTCAAGCCTGGATATTTATTACTAGGATATTGCACGAATATAAGTCTAAGAATCATACTGCAATATATACTAATGACAGACATGATGTTGTGAAGAAGGTAAAACTAATAAACAAAGTGACACAACACAGAAAAACAGGAGGGAAAAAGGAGAAAGAATGCAGAGAACAATATGGAAAGTGCAGTCGTGGGGAAAGCAGCAGTAAGAGCAGCTGTGGGTTAGAAGTGACCAGAGAGGGCGTCTCGGTCAATCGATTAGTAACCCCAGACAGACTTGTGTGCATGCTAATGCATAATAGCCTGTACTTGCAAAGACAGAGTTTCTCACTAAAGTGTCTACTAGTAATGGACCAGCATGAGCGTGCACACACATGGTATCTATGAATTTTCCAGGATTATTTTATTATATTTAGTCTATTGAATTCTGTTTGCAATTTGCTGAATAACAATCATTTAATTCATTGGTATTATGCTGTGAAAAAAGCAAATGCGTGTTTAAAAAAGGCTTTCATTGAGGAGAAGCAAGATTTTGTTTAGTATTTTTTAAGCTTTTCAGTATATGTTGATGATTGATTATTTCTCATTTACCCTAAATTTACATTCCTATCAGTAACACTCCAATACAGCCAACCTCGAGGCCAACAGCGGGATCAAGGACAGGACTTTCTATGGCTGTTTGGCTGCATCATCCTAAAAGTGAAATAACAAGCTCCCAGTCGCCTATCAGTACTTCATGTCACCAAACAACTTGTCAGAGAAACTCACACTGATAAATATTACAAGCCATTGCACAAGTGGCCTCAGGACATGTAGACTGCTAAAATGAGGATACAGACTCACCTCCAGGACTTTGGGACTGCCCTGACGGCCCAGCGTGCCCAAGATCAGGCCCCATCTCTGGGCCAATCGAGCCTTGTCAATAGCCTGGAGCCTTAAGGCACGCATGGCCTCATGGTCATAGTATTCCCGCGTGAACACCTTACTGTAAGGGTCATATCTACCCACAGAAAAAGAGAAAGAAAACAGATGTGGATGAAACATATGCATACACTTAAACAGACAAACCTTATTATAAACATTACAATCTATTGTTCAGGTGTCTATCTTGAGGACATGCAAGAAAAGATGAAAAAATCCAATCATGAAAAGCCGTCAAGTATGACAGGAGTTAGTGTATCTTAGGAAAAATGGAGGTATTTCTGAGCATCTAATCTCCTTTTCTCCGGTACAAGGGGTTCACTTGAGATTAGAATCTTGTTTATGAGAGAGACCTGTGATCTGTGCGGCAGTGCATATGTGTATAACAACACAATTTCACTTTGCATACAAACAAGACCTCATCAGAACAGAACTTTATCCTCACAAAATGTTATCATGACACTGCATTAAGGTAAGTGATTATGACTGCAAGGGACTTAATTTGAATAGTATTATAAAATACCCTTTCTATGCATAAAACATTAAAATATATAATTGTAAAATTGCTTACTTTTACTTTCTATGTATTCCATGTACATGTTACAGTTGCTCTCAAATCGTACACATTAGAGGTGTAATACTAATTAAATAGAATTAACATTTTGTAGGTGATGTCAGTACATTTATTACAGAGAAATGAAATAAAATAATTAACAACAAACTGTTACACAATACCTGTAGGCAGGGATATCTGGGTTTGCGATCATGATTGACTCCAGGTGAAATCTTCCATCTCCCAGATAACTATAAAAAAAAAAAAACACCAATCAATTTAATATTAGAGGTAAAGAAAAGAACTGAAGAAAGGGGGAGGGAGGGAGGGAGGGAATTTTCCTCTAGATAATCAAAATTCAATGTTTAACAATAATAAATACCAGTCAATTATTCTCTTATCCTCTCCACCAGCTCTGTTTTTAAACCTGTTCCTTTCTGCAGCCTTTTAACAGAAGTGTTACCAGGCAGAGGGCCTGAGGCTGGGGTGGAGGGTCTGCCCATCTTTTCTGTCTGGGAACGTGACCCCAACGATTGGAGCATGCTGTTTACACAGAAAGCAAGCCCTTCCAATTAACCCACGGTCTGGTGCTGGGGATACACCAGAGCCCGAGTTGAGGGTAGAGTGCACAAACCATAAGTACACCGAGTCACGTAGGTGCCTGAAAAAAGAAGCTCAGGGAAAACAGTCTTACATGAAGCCCCCTCTCAGGGTCAGTCTGAGAAGAATCCTGCTGTTAGTGTGAGGGGGCTCAGGTCAGTACCCCTACTCTGTACAGTCTCAGTAGGCCTACTGAGACAGCACATGCAATTAAACCCACTAATTGGTCAGTGTTTAGAACAGCTTGGAAGAGGACGTGGGTGATTTGCCATATAGGGTACCTGTCTAGCCGAGGCTTATTTATAAGTGCGTGTGTTTGTATTAGTGTGAAAGCACATATGTATGTGTCACTGTGTGTATATGTGACAAATAACAGTGAGCAATGACACAAAACGAACTTGAGCAGAGTCTCTGTTGCACAGCTTCTCCTTGCTTAGCAACATCCAAGGCCCTTATATAATTATGCTCCCAACTATAAGCTTGCTGCACTTCAGCCACGGTTGTCATCAGCTATCTGTAGCTTTAAGAGGTTGGTGTGCTCGACTCTTATAACGATCACAGTCCTTCCATCCATATCCTATTGTTCTTTCCAAAAGTTCTCTCCCATAATGGTAATGCTATACGTCTTTGCGTTATGCAACACCGTATCCTCATATTCACATATTGCTTAATTACAAGCGAGAGCTGGAGCAGGGGCAGCAGACAGAAAAGGTTGACTGATCATTTCTTATAGCTCTTTTCAATGCACTTCAATGCTTTTAAAAAAATACTTTTCTTCATTATAGAAATGAGACAGACCAGGCACTTTGTAAAGCTTTACGGCAGGCCTCAAGGACTAATGCATCGCTACTCAATCTCCATATTGCTCAAGTAGCTCAAAGCTTAGGTAAAACGCAATTACAACTAACATTTTTGGAGCACTGGCTCATTCCTAATTAATGTAAGATAACCTAATGTTAAATATGATTTATTACTCTATCAAAGGTGATAAACAAAACAGTGCAGTGTTTAAAAGAGCTTGTTCTGTGCAGCATTTGTTAGAGATAGCGGATAATCAATTGTGTCAATACCTTAATAATAATTCATTGAGGTGGGGGGAAGCTTGTTAATAGAGGGACACTATTACTTAGCAATTAAGCTTTGGATACAGCTGCCACAGAATAATAAAACATTTCTTCCATTTAGGTTTCTGATTAAAATTTTACACTGTTTGGAGGAGTGGGCCTTGCTATACCAGAGAGGTAGGGAGGCTTCAGACCATGTCTGTATGTTGTACATGTGTATTGAATGTGCGTAAGAGAGAGATAGAGAGGGGGAGAACGAAGAGAGAAGCGTAGCAACACTCAGGCAGCCTAATCGATTCTCTCTCCCATCACACCCCTGCACACCCCAACTCACACATCAAAGACAACGCACATTGGATTAGTAGGTGAAGCACACCCTAACCCTTCCACTTCCACTTCTTTCACACGTTCAAAGGCGCAAACTAAGACACACACACACACACACACACCTTTCGTCTCTCATAGGCCCTGGCTTATAGCATATAGCAAAGCTTGTCCTTGTGTAGCCATTTTAATCTCATGCACTGGGAGGTTTTAATCACATGGACTAACACTAGATGTGCGCAGATCAGACATGCAGGGTGATGCACCTAGACATAATAATTATACCTGGGGAATTACTTCAACTCACTGTGCACCACAAAGGAAAGGATTCTCTCTACTGCAGGGCTGCAAGAGACGTATAGACACAAAGTGGCTGCGGAGGTGTTGTTTGCTGCCTGATCTGTTACTTTGCCAGAGCACTCTCCTCCCTGTAGTACAGGGAGGATAAGCATCACTTTGACAAGTCTCACATGCACAGCATTTATGTTAATGTAAAAACACTGAAGAGCTAGTCTTTTAGGACACATGCAGCTACTGGATTCATCATCTTTTTTTTCCCATTTAGAGGAAATGAAAGGGAAAATAAGAGCTTAAAACAGACAATCACATAAGCTGAAACAAATTTAAAGACAAATGGTTACACGTTGCACAGTTTATAAATTTTCACCATGAATGTGCCACAGTAGGTGTCATGCTCTCTGAAAGCATTCCTTTAAAACATGGAAAATTGGCGAGCATGTGGATGTATTGTGGTTGTTTTGAAACAGCCAAAAGTGGCCATGTCTGTCTTGCTTTAAACACAATTCAATGCTTTGCACAGTGTGAAGGTATTTTTAGCCTTGCTGTTCCGGATCAGCATCTGGCTGTTTTTGGCTGGATATAATAGAAGCCTGATGCGTAGCACACAGACATACTTAGTTGTCGCAGCTAGCTATATCTGGTGTGACTATTGTGATGTCATACTGATTATTCTTCATGTTACATGGGTGGGCATGGCAATGGCAGGGATAATTAAGGTAGCTTTTGGGGGGTCTGGATGAGTCAAGGCTGGTTGTCTGTGGTTATCTGGATATCTCTACTGAGTAAAAGGAAAAAAGGACAGGATCTGGGCTGAAAATGTGAGGTGGGAGACAGCAGGTTTCTTACATTATGGCATTGACATGGCGGTCCAGGCGAGGGGAGGTACACCCCAAAATTTCTCCTGGTGACAGAGGCCGACACTGTGGGACCAGCACATCATACTCTGGCTTGAGGGCTGCACTCACAGCCTGCATGGAAGAAGGGAGAAGGAAAGATAGTTAGAGATTCACCTGTTTTCTTAACCTTTTCCCTTGTTTTGGGGTAGCCCTAGGTTTGGAATAGCTGTCCAAATAGAGAGCTGTGGATGTCCACATTTTTCTTCTTCTTGTGTTGCAGATCACCTCCAGGTCTAAGAGCAGGAACTAAGGGAAAGAACAGATAACCATGGAAAACTGTGAAAAAAGGCTCCCCAAACAGGTCAATGATGATACAAATGAAAAAGGATGTGAGTCATCAAATGCAGGAAAATTAAATATCCTAAATATGGGCACAAAAAGAGGCACTCCATGGCATGAAGAATGGATTTAATGAGGAATTAGATCCGTCTTGTTTAATCTAAACCACACATACTGTATAACCTATTTGTAATATATTTATATATAGTTTTGTATATTGTGTATTTTCACCTGGTCAGTCCTTAATAATTATTGGATTATTCAGTAGGCTGATTTCAGCACGTTTTCCCTTCCCTCCGAATATTGTAAATTGTTTCTGAGTTCAATATATTGTTATGTTAGCGTATCAGATATACAGTACTTTTTATCAACAGTGAAAGCATCCCATTACTGTGTTTAAGGATTATGTCTTATTTATACTGTCACTTCCTGCTTTTTCATAAACATCTTGATGGGCCAAGCTTGAAATGAATCCAGACTAGCTGCTGATCCAAGCCTTTTTTTGTTGCCATTGAGTGCCCGTATTGGTGAAAAAATATTTATATGCTGAATGTGTGTGGAGACTTACCTCCTTTTTTTGTATTAAGAATAGATAATGACAGAGACATAAGGCACAGAAAATTGATGCAATTGAGACAAAAGATATGAAATATGTACACAGAAAGAAAAAGCAGTCGTCAAACGATGATGACAGAGGGCATTGAAAATGAGAAAGGTCAGAAAAGATTACACAGAACATATGCCCCTGAAGTGATCCTGAATCGATCCTGAATCGGTCATGCATAACACAAATTCTCCTAAAGATTTAACTCATAATTTGGCCACTTATGGTTAAATGGATGGACTGATGATCTGCAAAGCACTGAGAAAGAATCATGTCATACTGAAAAATAACAACAATACAAAGATGCAGATAAGAAGACTATCAACGCCTTAACAAGGGAAATAAATAGAGTGCTTTAATACTCAAGAAAAATCCAAACACCTACATTCATTTAAGCAAAGTGAGAAGATGAGAGAGAGCAAACAATTACACCAAAAAAATAAATAAATAAAAAATGAGTTAGTGGGCCTGGAGGTGGAAGGATAAATTGAACGGTTTAAAGCTAATTTAAGGCAATCTACAGGGAATACAGGTGACCTCTCAGCTTCTCCCGCCCATACTGAGTGACTTTAACAAGCCTACACTCAGTAAGACATGAGTGAGATAGAGGCACACATGCATATAATACACAATTACAAACACAAAGACATATGCATACACATAGATGCACTCAAACACCCCAACATAAAATATGACCCACATGGGCAGAGCATGGTTTAAAAATAACAGCAGTTACATTAGCGAAGAGTGGTGTTGGTTCAACATGGCAAATGAAAGCAGCAGAACACATTATAGAACAGAGAGGCATAAAAAGGGGCGGTTTAATACTATAGCTGCTGCCACTGCTTATGTAAAGAGCAGAGTTGAGCACGATGCTGAACTGAGAGGCCTTCCGAGTTCATTCCACCTTTTAAATCCAAAATAACTGCTACCGGATTTCTCAAACCCACACTTGAACTGAGCTTAAGTGTGGAGTGTAAGCTTGTTCATGAAAGCCAGAAACCAGAAAAGTATACTGTACAACTGCATTGAAGTATGAGTGTGAGTGTTCCTATACTGTACAAACAAAAATACTTGGGTAAAACTCAAAATACACAAAAGTGACTGATTATTCAGGTAAAGATAGGAAATGGCTCTATCTGAGCGCTCTCTGATACAAAAATAGACTCACCCACATATGCACAAAATCAGATAGAAACCCGGTGCTTAATCACCTGCAGTGCTGCCACAAACTGAATAGTGCTGACGAGTGCCAGAGATTGTCCAGGAGGGAAGTTGAACTTGACCGTGTCCAGGAAGTGTGCATTGTCCATCTGGATATCCACAAACACATACAGCATCTTAATACCTGCTGTGGAGTCTATGGGGACTGCAGGGACACAAAGACAAAAGAAAGACAGATGAATAATTTACTCTGTTATGTCAGGTAAGCCTGTGGTATATACACTATTCATGCTGCCTCAAACATTAACACGAGGCACATGTTCAGCGATACAGCTATATGGGAACACAGTACATGCACATATATAGCTCGCAGTTGGCGCCTGTGTGATATAACTGAAACCCATTCAGCGTGACTCTCTAGCACACGCAGGAACTGATGCGAAGACCTCAATTATTTAGGGAAGGAGAGGGACACATGCGATTACTATTAATGCCATTAATTTCACAGGCCATTTACTACGCACCCGGGCCTAGGAGAGGTAGCTAGAGACGTGCTGAGTTAGGTTCTGAAAAAGTAGGCGAGAGTCCAAGAAAATAAAGAGAAAGGGCATGGGTAAGAAAGAAGAATTATCATTTACTTTGTTTATCATAATTATTCTTCCTCTTGTGTTACATTTAATTTGCAGATCAATAGCAAGGGGATTTTTTTTGTTATGATTAAGCAAATGGCCCATTATGGTGCAAATGTTTTATGAGCAAGAGCAGCTCATTCAATTGATGGCCTAGATTAAAGCAATATTGAGAGCGAGCGATACAGGAGCAAAAGCATGACAAGGGGGCAGAAAACAGGGGGTCAATAGAGAAGGGTGGAATGGGAAAGGCTGAAGATCTGTGAGATACATGTCTTTACAATGAATTGAAGGCAGATGGGATGGAAAGCAGGAGCAAGGAATGAGAAATTCCTATAAATGTAGGCTGGGAAACACTGAAATTCAATATGGGGGTGGAGGTACGTGATTTAATAATGCACCATATAAATTCCAAAAGATAGGGTTAGAAGGAAGAGAGGAGTGGAAAAAGTAATAGGATACTGTGTGTGTGTGTGAGTGGATGTGTATTGGAGGTTGGGTTGTCAATTAACTGGCAACCGAAGTGATGAATGGGCTCACATCTAAGCAGAGGGAAGGGAAGGAGATGGATAGGGACTTATAAAGGTGGGCTTTGCTGTAGACCACGTTAAGTGAGAAACTAAGGAGTTAAATATATTATGAGACTAAAAAGGGTTGGAGGAGTTGAGTAAAGAAATACAGACCGAGACAAACAGCTGTCAGTTGCTTCTTTATAGGCACTCCCAAAACTTAAAGGGCAAAGAAAACTGACATCGATCTGTGTTCACATTAACATGGTAGCCTGAGAGCACTTAGACGCTGCAATTAGAGACACAGTCAATGAGATGGACAGGGCTCACTTGCCCCATCAGTGGTTTTATTTATCTATGTGTTATAGCAATAAGGTCACTCAGCAGAGATGCTTATTAGCTCCATGTAAACAAATATGCACATTCATAACAAGTGGAAGTCAGAAAGGGTTGCACATAATGGTATACTGGCTTTTTTACAAATCAATATGTACTAACAGGTTCCATTCTATGCTGTGCACATGGACAATTGTATGAATAATACAGCAATCATTTGGCACCTTTAATATATGGCCCTGAACCAATCTATGTCCAATTTGTGGCAATACAACTTTAAACATATCAGAATTTCACTTTCATGTGACTCTAATGCAACACTGAAAAACACAGAGGACAGTGGTAATGAAGGTGTGGATGAAAACAGTACTAGCCACATTATTATGTATTATACATTACAATATAAAAGAAACTGATTCACACACACTCCAAAGTTCACAAAGAGAATTTAAACAAGTGATGAGGCATGTGTCCTGATATATTACAATTGTTGTGTCTGTTATTTTTTATTATTTTTATACGATATCAAAAAGCAGTAAGCAGTGGTTGCTGAATTGTGACCACCTGAATTCTAAAGTAGGTTGACTGGACCAGGTACAGGTACACTGAAGTCCAGGTCATACACATTCTGAGCAAATAAATATGAAAATCTGCAGAAATGTAATGTGTCAAGGCAAGAAAAAACACCAAAAAGTCAATTACTGAGAATTATATTATACACTGCAATGATTTGTGGTCAAAATAACTGTGCTGAGAGGGAAGACACTGAAAACACACTGTGAAAAGTCTAAAAAAATAACAATAATCTGAACAGTAAACTAGGAGTCACCAGGAGTGAATGCAGCTATAGAGTTGTATGTGTATTGTGGAATATTAAAAATCAGTATTAAATATCTTGTAATACAGGTCTATGAATGATAACTATTAACTGGCCTGTTATTTAAACCCAAGTGTCCAGTGGTCCACACAAATAACACAAACTCAAACTAAAGTTACTGCTTTGGGAAAGTTTTGCTTTACAAAACTCTTATAAAATGAGTCATGCCACCAAAATGGACTTGCTTGTGATGTTGAAGAAGGCCCAGTAATACTTACAGCTATGGCAGCTGGCATTATCTGAGCAAGGCTGTTATGTGTTGCCAGTTTTCTTTTTCTCCAGGTGCTTTTTCCCCATGTTGGTAAATAACCACAATGAAATAGGTGAAAAATAAAAATAAGTTTATCACTCTCAGTCCATTTTCCTTTTTTTCTTGGTGTTATTTTGTTCAGACTAGTCCGACATTCAGTTACAAAAATGCTGCTTAAGCCTCACTAAGGTTAAATAAAATTCCCATTCCTCACATCAGAAAATACTGTTACAATTTTAAAAAGACACAAAAATATTTATGATGTTGCCCATATTGTCCTGCACTAGACGGAGGGGCTTTAAGATGACAAACAATGAGATGGCACCAATATTCAAAAGCAGATACCGCAGAGGAAATGAAAGGGGAATAAAGGAGCGCAGGAGAGACAGTTTCTCTGTGAGTCAGTCGGAACACAGTGTCTTTAATCTCCCACAGGTGTCTGACATCTTGAGAAACAGTGCAGATGATGTCCTCATGATTCAGTGATGAAGGTCAGGAACAAATAATACACACTGGCACACTTACGAATGGACTCTTTGAGAATCTGTAGTTCGTTTCATTCCTTTGAAATATATCTTTCATCAATTAACATCTGATCTAACTTCACAACCCACAAAGAATTGATCTTTGGTGTCTTCATCTTTATTAGGCTCGTCTGAGTGTAAATGGGTCTTCTGTGTGTGTACTTTTGGGTTTGCGCACTCAGTCTCTTCTGTAAACATACATGCACGTAAATTCTCCACAAATATCAAATAATGAATGTTCACACACACACAAAGACAAACAAACAAAACCAAAAGCCACAAACCAACACAGGGAGAGCTTTTCAGTATATTAAAATTCTGTTGGTCATTTCTGGTATTTGGGAGAGGTGAGGTTGTTCTGGCAGGAAAATATCAAAACTATTGATTTAGCATTTTCTCCCATGTTCTTCAAGAGACAGTGGGGGTGAGGGTGAAGGTCCTCAAGAGCTGCGTGAGGTTTTCAAAGGACGGCTCTAATGTATGTTCCCCATTGATCTGCTGGGTAAATGTGATGTCCAGGCTCCAAAGGTCTGATATGCCTTCCATACTAGAGTTGGGGAGGGCTGCACTAACTAGTTATGTTTTTTGTTGATCAATAGCTCAGTCAGTGCTCTGACTTCTGTTTAATGAAGCACACTCTCGGTAGGTGGTTGTCCCTGATGCTTGCTTGCATTCCTCTGTGTGGTATAATCTGCATGCAGAGTGACAGACAAACAGACAAAAGACTCACTGAGACAACTGTGGCCATAGTGCACCATGAAATCAGCTCCCAGGGCTCGGGCGGTGAAATCATCCACGCAGCAGGCACCGTACGTCACGTCTCCCATCACAATGGTATCAGCCTCTGTGAACCTGGGAATGTACGCACACAGAGACACTGATCAGTACAGTCACAGACCATATGCATGTCCTGTTGATCGCTACCATAGCGATCAATAGACATAGCATGCCAGGCACGGTGTGATTATGAGAGAGTTGAATTAGATCAATCCCTATCTACTTGCTACAGATAGAGTACACTATATAGTATCTGACAGCGTTGTCAGTCAATGACTGACTCACAGCATATCAGGGTGACACGCTGCTATTCTTTTGCTCTTCATGACCGGCAGCCAAAGGACTGAGTGTGGCACAAGCTGTCTGGTAGTTAAATCCCTGCCAGACGAGGGGTAATAGGTCACCAGTCAGCATGGCCAAAGACAGGAGGGTACACAAAGGGAAGAAGAAGTAGGAGATAAGGGCTAGGACTGGTACACATAAGCAGATTAGAGTTTATAGGGGCCTTCGCCAGTCTAGCCATGGCCTGGATTTACAGCACATCTGCCTGGAAGAGGAGAAACATCCTCAGCAACTGTTAGTGTCTGCAGCATTGGAATAAACTATTCAGACTAGATGCTTTTATGCCACAAGTAGGTTGCGAGAGCGTAGCACAGACCACATGGGCCTAACGTTCCACTTTGAGGCTTTAATAGAAAAAAAAAATCATGGCCTTGAGAGGAAAAGCACCAAATTACACAGGCATCTGTGGACCCAGATCTGTTAGAATGAATAGCCGATTGCACTACAGAAAAACAAGCTCCGTCTTTTATCGCCCTTTATGGGCGTATAAAATGCTAAGTAAACCCATAAGGCTAAGTAAAACGAATAAAGGCTGAGAGTAAAAGGGAGCAAGCCCAAATGAACAGAAGCTAGAGGCATTGTACGGGAGGAAAGATGGGTAGACGAGGGGGTGGTTGTAAATGGCGGTTGTTGCCAGGTATTTGTGGCTGTATTCTGACAGATTTAGGCTAGACCGAAGGGGTAGAATAGAGATGAGACAGAGGGTTTGGGGAGAAGAGGGTAGAGATAAACAGACATGGCTGCACACAGAACAGCATCTGTAGCAACCAACACACTCCTAGTAATGTGTCTCCTGCTGCCCAATCTTTCAACCCACATCCACACACTCTGTTCATTCCTCGCTCTGCTCCTTGCAAAGGGCTTCAGACGAAGTTTCTATTTAGCCTCTCCTCCCTCATTTTCTCTGATGTAATCCGTGGTTGGACTCTCTGGGCTCCTCATCATAGTCCCCTAGTTTTCTATGTTGTTGACTCTCTCTTCTTCTCTCCCTATTTCCCTTTCCCTTCTCCTCTAATGGCTGCTCTCAAGTGAAGGGCAGCGCAGGCCAGCTGAGCCCAGGAAAACATAGACAGAACAACTCATCTGGTAAATAAATATTTGCCTTCGATGACTTGAATCAATTACCCCCTCTCTTGTCAAGGTGTTGATTTTGTCGGTGCGTGTCTTCGTGCTGCGTATGCATGCATATGCAGCCGACAGCAGGAAGGTAATTATGTGTTACTAAAAATCATATAATCACATGTGTAGTTTGAGGTCTGTGGATTTGTGCATTAGTTTGCTCATTCACTGCAGCCCATTGTTCTTTTAGCTCAGTCCATTGACTTTGTTTGGAGTTATATAAACGTGCATCAACCTAAAAATACAGCCTGCCCACCAGAAAAAAAAAAGAGACTTTTCCCTGCAATCCACTGCAGACCATGCAGAACCATCTACAATGCAAAACACTACTACTACAGATGATTATCGTATCTAATCAGCCATCTATCTGCCAGAAATACCATTATCATGTTATCTACATTGGCAGAGCTGTGCATAGCTAGTTATTTCCAGAGTGAGTACACTGAAATGTCATGGTAATAAATGCTAAGAATCTGATTAAGAGGCCCATCAGAGACATGATGCTACTGGGAAATGGGCAGAGTAATTACTGGGCAGCCCCATATCCCACTGGGAGAGAGGAAAAGAGGGAAGAAGGAAGATAGAATAAAAGAATGTTAGAAAGAACGACATGAATGAAAAGTTTATCAGTGTTAATCAAATCCTATTTCTGACACACGCTATCTCACACACGCCATTTGACTGGTGGATACATATAGAGCACAAATGTCCTCCAATGCCTCCTAATTTCCACTTATTCCTCAACTATCCCTTCCCGCTTGCACTTGTCTCTAGTATCAGTCACTTTCCCATTTCCCTCCGTATATCAGCACTGGTTTTGCCTCATCTTAGGCTACTCAGTTCAGCCATTCCAACTGAAATGTCATTAAGATCTAATTAAGATGTCAGAGAAGCTTCTGAACTCCATAACAGCCCTTGTTAATTAGCTCTTTAGCATACAGCTCAATATGTGTGAGAAATTGCCAACTGATTTGAATCTTATAAAAACCACTGCGCTGGTGTGTGCCGCAAACACAAGCGTAGGAGCAGACTGCAATATACATATGCACGCACAGGCCAGCACAAAAGCACACACTCACATGACCATGGATTGAGTGGCAGCAGATTGTATCACTGTTTATCAACAGGTTAAAGTAGCTGATAAGTTTTACATAAATAGCATCTCACCCATCTCCATTATTGTCCTAGTGTGGCAGCATAGGCATGAAAGCAGATTAAGCTTTGTGCTCCTGTCCTCTGGAGATGATATACTTTTCTGACTTTGACAGGAATTTCTTCTGATGCCGGCATAAAAGAGGAACTTGTTGGCACCAGAGCCTTACGACTCAAGAGATGTTGCAGCAGACAAAGGGAATGAAAAACTTCTCCTGTCTCTGAACCATTCCATTAGTACTCACAAAGCCATTCTGTCCCCAATTACACTCATCTGTTGATGAAAATTACTAGACTGAATTTAAAACAGGCTTCCACCATCTGTGATGTGTGAATAACTGTTAACTTAAGGTTTCTGAGTTTTGAGATGTGGGAAGTTGCAGGTAATTATCACTTTGACACTCAGTTTTACTCTTGGGCCCATCAGCTTGATTAAACATTACAGTTAAAACAGCCTCTTACATGAACACCTCTATATTCAAAAACTGCAGGGAAAACTACAATATGCAGTTCCTAAGACGTCAAAACTGTATTATTTTTTTGGCTGGCTGAACAATAAAGATAGATGATGCTTTTCACTGTATTTACCTTTTTTGTAGGTTATTCTGCATGCACATTTCCACTTGTGTGACTGGAGAAGTGTTCAAAGGATTTCTTTTATTTATTCAGGGAAAGTGGACTGACTGGGTTTCAAGCAACAGTGCTTCACACATTCATATATTTCAAACATTCATACCTGGAGGGTGTCAAATACAATATCAGCCCTCACTTCAACAGTTGCGTTTCAAATATTCCCGAAGTCACAGAGAGAGAGAGCACTGTCAAAGTTTGAAGCTTCACTCTGATGCAGGGCGACTAAGGGTGTTCACAAATCAATGGTGTCATTCATAATCATGTGCCAAACATGTTTAAATGTATAAAAGCACTACATTTGAATCCTTGATAGTTATTTCAAGTAGAAGCCATGCAGTAAATTACGTACTTTTACCCAAACTATCAACATTATCTTTATAGGTAACTAACTGTGGCTTAAATTGTCTGCCAAATTGGCAAACCAGCTATATGTACATATGTATGTGCTGATAAAATAGAACATGAATGTGTACTCACTGGCACAAAATGAAACTGTCGCGTGGGTAAAGCCACCATACCAAAGTCCGCTCAAAGCTCTTGCACAATTTAACTGCCTGTCAGCAAACTTTTTCTATGTCTAGATTGTTAGATTAAATGCTATGAGAAAACACACATCAATCACGTTGATATTGATATAGATGTATTTTTGATTTTGTCAGTACTGAACAGCACTACAATGGGCATTATATGGAGTTTCTCAAATGCTTTTGTTTTCATGTCTCCCATTCCATCTCCACTGTACCAGAAAGGAGGTTAAGTGCCTTGCTCAGGGGCAATGCAGAATGGAGAAAGAAGGGAAAATGTTACTGCTTGACTTCTCAACCTCCAGGTTTTCCTACTGGTCTACTAATGTAAGGGAAGCAGTGACTCTTATGACTCTTATAATGCTTTACTATACTGATGTGTGGAGTGCAATCAAGCCCATTTAAGAATAATAACAAGCTCCCATAAGCTGCATTAGTGCTGCTTGTCATGTATTTACGCATTTGCTTGGCAAGCGGGTGGATGGTCAACAAGCCAGTCAAACAAAAAAGGTGGCAACAACTGATTTTTTCACAGTCGTCTGCCATCGTCAGGTGGGCTAATCCAATTTGCCAATTTGCATGTTTCCTTATTTCCCTACTGATGTGATTTAATTTGTTCAGCAGTAACTTTACTAGCCAAGTGCAAAATGGGTGAGAAAATGATTAGAGCTTTTTCAAGCTTTCCAGGTTTTAAAGTTTTGCATCCTTTGGGGTAAACCGCAAACGTCACAGTACTTTTGTGGTACCTAATGGTGATTTTCATACCTAATGAGCATTTGCCATCTAATCAAGCCATTAAAACGACATAAAAGTTATGACAGGGAATACCAGCAACCAACCACATGCTACCTTGGCAGCAGAATAGATTGGTTGTTAGCACCATCAGTCCTCTCACAAAGGAGAGTTCTGGTTTTAATCTTCAGCCAAAGCCCTTTCTATATTTGAAGCATGTTCTCCCGGTGGGTGTGTGGGTTTCCTCCAGTGGCTCTGACTTTTCTCTCATACTCCAAACACATGCAAATGGTTTTGTGACTCTAAATTGCCAAGCAGGATTGTGAATATGTTGACCCCCACGGATTGGAAATCTACCCAGACTGTTTTCCCTGCCTCTCATTCTGCTGGGATGGATTATTTGAGCATTCTCTATATTGTATTTTTACAATACATATATATTAAGATGTATTAGTATACAGTAAATTACACTTTGTATGGGATTTAATTCAATAAATAACCGTAAAAGAGCATCCCACAGAATACAGCCAGAGGAATCAGGACCTTGGTCACATTTTATAGCTCATTTGCAGC